TCTGTGATCCTAGAGCGAATCTGCTTTTATCTACAAAAAAAGACGGCTGCTGCTCTGGTCTAGATCTACGTTACTGGGCAGTGAACACAGGGCCCACTAGAGCAGTGGTTCCAAATCTGAGGTCTGTGACCCCCCTCAAGGGGTCCCCACAAGAATGCAGGGGGTCCAGTGGGTCTACTTTGTTAGTGCTATTAGTAAGATTACTACAATTACATGTATAAGATCCAGAAAACACATCCAACAGCACAATCAGTACTCTGTGTACAAGGCATGACTGTATGGCTTTATAACGACTGTAAGTAGGGGCAGGAATCGAAGACCGGTTCTTGTTCAGAACCAGTTCCCACTGCTTTAGTTCTTAGGAACTGTTAGCCATTTTCGCAAACAGTTCCCTTCCAGTCGATGTGAACGATGTGAACGATGTCACCACGCACAATGCACAGCTTACGCATTCACTCAGCCGGAAACATGGTGCCTAAACGGCACAGATGCTTGAAGGTTTGGTGATACTTTACAAGAAAGGGTGACAGAAGCTCACCTTGAAATACTTGCAAACTAGATATTTCATCAAAGGGAGGAAACACTTCAAATATGCAAAAGTATCTGTGCACCAAATATGCCATAACTTAAAGTGAATGTTGTGTTTTTGACCCGCTCCAGACTAGAGAATTTCAACACTGCGGCAGTAGTGGTGATGTTTGCACGTCCTCTCCTGTTAATGCTGCAGGATACTAATGGACTAACACTGCCTATCATGTTAGCAGCATTTGCCTTATATGCACACCTGTAATGAAGAAGACCATGTGCAATGCATTTTTATGTCACCCATTGACCCACTCAAGAATTGATAAGGAAGTGGATTGATAGACAGAAAGTATCATTTCCCACCCCCATTTGTAATTATTCACTATTGTGTGCATGCAAGTAAGAGTTTGGGTTGGGGCCTGGCTTGTCTTGGACACATGGAAGGGAGTCCTCGTGAAAAAAGGTTGGGACCCACTGCACTAGAGGACACCATCCATCAGGCCACCCTCATGGAGTCTGTTTCTAGAGGTTTGTTCTGAGACCTTCTAAGAAAAATCAGCCAGGTTCTAGTGAGTAGCTCCCACTAATGTAGCTTTATTCTGCAATGTATTTAATTTTATGACTCTTTATTTGTCATGTCTTTACTGGTTTAATGTTTTTTCTCAACAGTTTTTATCGTGCATGCATTTGTTAGTAGGTGAAGGTGCTGTGGGATATGCATTGCAAACTATCTCAGGTTATAAATACTAGAATGGAGGTGTTGCTACTACTTTATACCAGTCCCAGTACAAATAAACAACAGATGACTTTTTCTGTGCTTGAGTCCCAAATAAAAAGATTAGAATTTGCATGCTAGTGAAAAATGAAGTTTAAGACCTCAGTGTTTATGTGTAGGTCTGATGCATTAATTTTAACTTTATATTTTTAAATGATACGAACATTTTCTTTCTGACATTGTTTTACTTCAGACTGGTTAAACCTGTTAACTCTTGAAAGTATCACGTCACAGGTGGAGCTCCATACTGTCCTCGTTTCAGTTAAAACACTAATTCAATGATAATTACTGTTTATCTTAAAACAAAGACTTAAGTTTTAGTTCTTTAGTAGATTTCAAAGGCAGAACTCCAACATTCCTAAAGCACATCTCCTGTGTGTTTCATCATCAGAATAAAGACATACATTTAATTCTAATACACAAGAAAAGGTCAAAAATGGCGCTATATCAGTCAGTGTCAGTAAAAAGTGTATGCAAAAGACCCCAGGCTGGGCAGCTTCAGCTTGAGTTCTGCAACTGTTGTGTGTGTTCTTGTATCTGAACAGTGTGCATCTCCTATTAAAACACCTTGGGCATCTTGGGTCTGCGATCATTGTTGCAGAAAGGTCAAAGCAACAATAACTTTTACAGAAAAATAAGCCCCAGGGGAGGATGGTGGAGGAATGTAATGATAAGGACATTAAGCAGCAGCACCCACTCACAACACTGAGCCTTGCAGAAACAGGAAAAAGTGAGAGCAATCGCCCAGAGGATCCGTTAAATAAAGCTACACCCTTCAGAGCAGAAGCAGAGCACGCTTATTTCATCTGAGCGTGTGCATGTGTGATTCACCGCATCCTGGGGCCCAAAGGTGTTAATGTGGGTCAAGTCTATTGTGTGTCAGACTGCTGTGCTGGACTACACTGTAACCATGGATGCATTTAGAAAGAGTCTTTCTTACAGTCGGCTTTGGGTGCTGTTGTGGACACAGGGGCCCCAGGGCCTCCACTGCCAGATGACACTGGGGGCAGGGAGACCGTAGGCGGTACAAGTTAGAATCTGGCTGCTGCCACTGGGATAGGGACTGGAAGGATCCGCCACTTCCTTCTCATGGATCTGTGGGGGAACTGGAAAACACAAGGGCCACTCAATCAGTTCAACCAGCCACAGATGAAATATTTAGGGCCACACATGGTCATGTGAACAAGGAGACAGCCTAATGACAGCCTGTCGAGGCTGATTGTCAAATATGAACTAGGAGTAAAATAGCAGAACACAAACCTATCTCAACTAGTGCATGAATGCACAACCACACCAAAAAAGGTAAATAGTCTGTATTTGAAATAGTTTTCAATTCAATTCAATTCAAGTTTATTTATATAGCGCCAAATCACGATAAGAGTCGTCTCAAGGCACTTCACATGGTAAACACTCCGATCCAGGTCAGGTCATTAAGTCGATCAGAAAAAGGTTTCCTGTATAAGGAACCCAGCAAATTGCATTGAGTCACTGACTAGTGTCAGAGTCTTTACAGCAATCCTCATACTAAGCAAGCATGCAGCGACAGTGGAGAGTAAAACTCCCTTTTAACAGGAAGAAACCTCCAGAGGATCCTGGCTCAGTATAAGCAGCCATCCTCCACGACTCACTGGGGATCGAGAAGACGGAGCACACACACACACACACACAGACACACAGACACACAGACACACACACACACACACACACACACACACACACACACACACACACACACACACACACACACACACACACACCAAGTAGTGTTTCTATGGTTACATTGTGATTTCTTAGTAAATATTCTATTTGGTGGGAGATAAATTTTATAGTATTTATCCTAGTGGATCTATAATTAAACGGGTAAACTAATAGTAGCACATTCAATGTCAAAGAAAGTAAAATGTTATTATGAGGAGTGGGAGAATGTTTAAGTGGTTAGCAGCAGTGTTCAAGTCGGTGGCTCCCTCCATGAGGCCACCACAGCTCAGCAGAACACAATTGTAGCTTCTTCTGGGGAGAAAAACACTTAGAGAAAAAATAAAGTTAACAGCTGAAATAGCAGGAAATAATACAGTTAAATAGCAAATTGTAGAAGAAAGTAGTCGAGTGTGAAAAGTGGTCAATGTATCCTCCAGCAGTCTAAGCCTATAGCAGCATGTTGGATGCAGGGCAAGGGAGAGTCGTCTTTACCGACTGTACACTCCACCTCCCTCTACTCCCCACTTGTCCAGATCTGGGCTAACATCAGATTTTAACCATAGGCCCTATCAAATAAAAGTGTTTTAAGCCTAGTCTTAAAAGTAGACAAGGTGTCTGCCTCACGGACGAAAGCTGGGAGCTGGTTCCTCAGGAGAGGAGCCTGATAGCTAAAATAGTACCTTCTATGATTGTTCAGCCCCCAAAAGTGCTTTACAACACAACCAGTCATTCACACGAGGTGATGTGTTGTTTTACAGCTGCCCTTGGGCGCACTGACAGAAGTGATGTTGCTGAACATTGGCACCACCGGTCCCTCCAACCACCACCAGCAGGCAAGGACGGGGATGTTTTGCTCAAGGACACAATGACTGCAACAGACTGAGCAAGGCTCATACTTGCAACCCTCCCGCTGCAAAACAAGCACTTAACCATGTGCAACATTATATAGAATGTTAGGGAGAAGCTACATAAGCCTATGAGGGACAAGTGGCAAAACCTGTTTAAGGCTGACTCATTGGACTAAACTTTCTTTTTGCTTGAAATTATGACTTTGAAGCAGAGGAAAGAAAAGCTTTTTTAAATAATTTCTCCATATTTCAGAGAGCTCTCTGGGTTTATTATTTTCATAACTTTAGTTTTAAGGCAACATTTTTTGCCTTACAACTATTTAAATGTAAACACAGTCATTATGATAAAGAACAAATGTGACTGAAATGTATTTTTATGAAAGATATACAGAACTAAAGTTCTACACATGTTTGTAGAAGGCCCTTTATAACGTGGTTATAAGACCTTGTGTTCATGACAAAATCCTCTATCGTCTCTTTCTATCCATTAAAATGTACAAATAATACAAATCTGGAATACATAACCTGCATTTTTATATTAGTGATCTTTTTACATACAGTGGGATGCAAACGTTTGGGCAGCCTTTTTAATCTTTACGATTTTCCTGTGTGAATTGTCGGCTGTTATGATAAATAAAATACTTCAGTTAAATATATCATTTAGGGGACACACACAGTGGTATTTAAGAAGTGAAACAAAGTTCATATGACGGAGGAAAGAGAACACAGCATTCCAAGAAAAACTCCTGCCACCTACAGTAAAACACGGTGGTGGTTTCATCATGCTGTGGGATTGTGTGGCCAGTGCAGCGACTGGGAATCTCGTTAAAGTTGAGGGACACATGGATTCCACTCAATATCAGCAGATTCTGGACACCAATGTCCAGGAATCAGTGACAAAGTTGAAGCTGCACCGGGGCTGGATCTTTCAACAAGACCTTAAACATTGCTCAGAATCTACTAAGACCTTCATGCAGAGGAACAAGTGGAATGTTCTGGAACTGCCATCTCAGTCCCCAGACCTGAATATTATTGAAAACCTATGATATGAGTTAAAGAGAGCTGCTCATGCTCAGAAGCCATCAAACCTGAATGAACTAGAGATGTTTGGTGTAGATTCACAGGGGTGGGCAATCACAGTCCTTGAGGGCCACTGTCCAGCAGGTTTTAGTTGTTTCTCTGCTTAAACACAACTGGTTTGAATCTACTAGTGATTAACAGGCTGCTGCAGAGCCTGATGAGCTGCTGAACAGGTGATTCATCCAGGAATCAGGTGTGTTGGGGCAGGTAAGCTACTAAAACCTGCTGGATAGTAGCCCTCGAGGACCAGGATTGCCCACCCCTAGTATAGCAGAATGACCCAAAATACCTTCAGCCAGAATCCAAACTCTCATTAGAAGCTACAGGGAATGTTTAGAGGCTGTTATTTCTGCAAAAGGAGGACCTACTAAATACTGGGTTCATTTCTTTTTTGTGGTGTTCGAATTTATGCAGCTGTCTAATTTTGTTAAAACAATTATTGCACAATTTCTGTAAATCCTATAAACTTTGTTTCACTTCTCAGGTATCACTGTGTGTGTATCCTGTATGATAAATTTAACTGAAATGTTTTATCGTAACAAGCAACAATTTATACAGGAAATTTACGAACAAGGCTGTCCAAACTTTTGCATCCCATTGTACAGGAAGCAGGTGGATTGCTCATTTTAGTGACGAACAAAACGGTAAAAAATCAAAACAAAACAATAATCAGTGGAAGAAATTGTGATTGCTCTCAGACTGCAGGGTTACTGGTGGTTCCTGGAATATCTAAAAATGGGATCGGAGGCAGATCAGGCTCCTCTCTTATGGAACCAACTCCCAGTTTAAGTCCGTGAGGCAGCCATCTTGCCTACTTGTAATACTAGGATTAAAACACTTAATTTGACAGGGCCTATGGTTAAAATCTGATGTTATCCCAAATCTGGACAAGTGGGGGAGTAGAGGGAGGTGGAGTGTACAGTCAGTAAAGATGGCTCTCCTTTGCCCTGCCTCCAACATGCCTCCATCTAAAAGGCTAGCTTCAAATTCAATTCAAATTCAAAAATACTTTATTAATCCCAGAGGGAAATTGATTGCTGTAGTAGCTCAGAATGATAATAATAATAGTCAAGTCATCAAAGAGTTATTGTATATTACAATGGCTGTTGGCAGGAAGGATCTCCAGTAGCGGTCAGGGTTGCAGCGAAACTGAAGAAGCCTCTGACTGAAGACACTCTTCTGTTGTCTGACAGTCTTGTGAAGAGAATGCTCAGGGTTGTCCATAATTTTCTTGATTCTCTGGAGAATCCTTCTTTGCATTATCTCCCCCAGTGGTTCCACAGTCATCCCCAGAACAGAACCAGCCTTTTTCATTAGGCTGTTGAGCCTTTCCAGGTCCCTGCTTCTGATGCTGCTACCCCAACAGACGATGGCTGAAGAGATTACACTCTCAACAACAGACTTGTAGAAGATGTGCAGCATCTTGCTACAGACAATGAAGGACCTAAGCATCCTCAAGAAGTGCAGTCTGCTGTGTCCCTTCTTGTAAACAGCTTCACTGTTCTTTCTCCAGTCCAGTCTGTTGTCCAGGTGAACTCCAAGGTATTTGTATTCCTCAACCACCTCCACTTCTTCTCCCATGATCGAAACAGTGTTTGATGCCACCCTGTTTCTTCTGAAGTCTAAAATGTAGCATCATCTCCTTTGTTTTGTTCACATTCAAGGTCAGATGATTGTTTCCACACCATGCCACAAAGCGCTCCACCAGCTCTCTGTACTCAGCTTCCTGTCCATCTCTGATACACCCGACAACTGCAGAGTCATTTGAGTATTTTTGTAGATGACAGGTCTCTGATTTGTACTGGAAGTCTGAGGTGTACAGGGTGAAAAGGAATGGTGACAGTACAGTTCCCTGTGGTGCTCCAATGTTACTGATCACCTGGTTTGATGTGCAGTTCTTCAGCCTCACAAACTGTGGTCTGTTTGTCAGCTAGTCTTTAATCCAGGCGATAGTTGAGGCCCCCACCTGTGTCTTCTGGAGTTTCTGGCAAAGTACATCAGGCTGGATTGTGTTAAATGCACTGGAGAAATCTAAGAACATGACCCTCACAGTGCATCCAGAATGCATGCAGAATCCCACAGAGCTGCTCTGCACAGTTCTTCAGTACTCTGGGGCTGACACCATCTGGACCTGCATCCTTGTTCCTGTTCAGTCTCTCCAGCTGCCTCTTCACCTGACTTCTAGAGACAGATAGGTGGGAGGGGGAGAAAAATGAGGCAGCAGCATCTCCTGACTTGTTTGAAGACAGATTTATAGAACCAGAAGTGTCCATGACTACGTTAGAGGACAAAAGAGCTGGCGTGTGACAGGAAAATGTTGGATCAGAGGAGGATGGGATGTCTGATTGGCTGGGGACAGGCGAGGAGGATGCTGGGTTTGTTCCTGAACCGAACCTATTGAAGAAATTGTTCAGTTCATTGGCTGTGTCCAGGCTGCCATCTGTGCAATCCTTCCTCTGCTTGAAGCCTGTGATCTTCTTCATCCCTGACAAGACATCTCTGATATTGATCCTCTGTAGTTTGTTCTCCAGCTTCTTCCTGTATGCCTCCTTGCTGTCTCTGATCTTGATCTTCAGTTGCTTCTGTATACTCCTCAATAATTCCCTATCTCCCTCCTTGAAGGCTCTTTTTTCTCATTTAGCAGATTCTTCAGCTCACTGGTGATCCAGGGTTTGTTATTAGTGAAGCATCTCACTGTTCTGGTGGGTATGATATTGTCCACACAGAAGTTTATATAGTCAGTGACACATCCAGTCATGGCATTGATGTCCTCTTCATATCCTTGGCAGAGAGTCGTCCAATCTGTGGTCTCAAAACAACCCTGCAGGGCTTCTTCAGCGTCCTGTGACCATTTTCTCACAGTTCTTCTTGTCACAGGTTGCCTCTTGTCCAGTTATCTCTGTAGTTATGCTGCTGTAGACTTTGACTGCTGGAGGACATACTGACCACTTTCCACACTCTACTACTTTCTTCTACAATTTGCTCTTTAACTGATTTGTTTCCTGCTATTTTAGCTGTTAACTTTATTTTTTCTCTAAGTGTTTTTCTCCCCAGAAGAAGCTACAGTGATGTTCTGCTGAGCTGTGGTAGCCTCATGGAGGGGGGCATCGGCTTGATCATTCTCCCTCATCTGATAATAAAATTTTATTTTCTTTGACATTGAATGTGCTACTACTAGTTTACCTGCTGTAAAGACTATGACACTAGTCAGTGACACAATGCACATGTCCTGGTTTCTTTATGTAGGAAATGTTTTACTGATTGGCTTAATGAACTGACCGGTATTGGAATGTTTACTATGTGAAGTGCCTTGAGATGACTCTTGTCGTGATCTGGCGCTATATAAATAAACTTGAATTGAATTTAATTGAATTAATCATGATGTTACAGTAAATCAAAATCTTGAAGTGATGCTTCTGCCTCATCATCCACCCCTGCCTGTCTTTTACTTCTTCTCGCTGAGGACAGACAGAACTAAATTCTCGTACCGTTGACAACAAGCGTGACGTTGAGCCTCTTCTCCAGCGACGCAGCTCTGTTTTTCAGCACCACCGTGTACATCCCAGAATCCTCCTGACAAACGTCCTTAACCTCCAGAGCGTGGTTAGAATGCATCCTTATCCTTTTTATCTTGAACTCTGGCCGGTGGTTCACCGGCTCCCCATTCTTATACCTGAACACAACATGTACACAGCTGCTCAGCTGCTCTAAATCACAGCCATGTCAGGCCTTGATTATGCTTTTGACAATTTCCCTTTGATGGATGCACCAGAGAGTCTGAGCTCACCACTGAGTTTCAGGTGTGGGGAAGGCAGAGACGTTCAGCTGTAACTTGAAGGATTTCTGGCCGGCCGTTACCTCCACCACTGGCCCGTCTCTGTAGTCCAGTTTGATAAACGGCCTTTCTGAAATTAGAAGCGTTTTGCTGTTGTTTACATTATTCCTTTAAAAGCTTTGAGAGTGACAATCAAAACTTGGAAGGTTTGAAAGGTTTCTGTGGATGCCTCGTTTCCACACAGACCTGTGTGCTCAAACGAGTGGAGAGCTGTAACGAAGTGGATTGTTAATGAGCGAACCACTTTAATATGCTCAGAGCAAAACGCTAAAAGCCTAAATTGTCACTCATTAGAACAGATTGGTACGTTTAGTTGTTTTCAGCAGTGAGAAGTGTGAGAAATGATTAACATGTAACAGAATATAAATTAAAAATATTAATAAGTGACGTTGTGGCTGCCAAGCTGAATGCTAGAATGGTTCAGAGGTCGTCTGGGATAACAGATTAGTATCTGGAAGGAAAAACGGCCTTCACTGTTAATCCAGTTGTCTGAAAATATTGTGTTATTTCTTGTCTTTGGTCAATTCAGAAAACATCTACATTTGACAAACTGAGTTAATTATAGGAAACAAGGAGTGTCACAAAATGAAACAAACCAATATGCTTTTAGGAAGGGCTGGGATCAGTTCATTACTACTCCCTCACTTTTTATCTGGTCAACCCGACTTAAAGAGGCTCTGAGAAAAAACAGTTGTTGCATCCAACAGGTTCAAATCTAAAAAATAATGTGTGTTAACGGTAGTAAGAATCCCGTCATAGTCAGTATTCCCACTGCAGTAAATAGCAGTCACACTGAACTCAGTTTGGAGATTCAAAGAGAAATTCTCATGGAGAAGTTAAACTAACTGCTAATCAGACTCATTCCAGAGGTGCTGGTAGTCATCTAAAACAATCAGGGATTTCAAATAAAGGCCATGCTGTTGTATTTTACCTCATTAGGGTAGCTGCGAGTGTTTCACATGGAACATGTCGCTACAGACCATGTCCCTAAACTGTTGGCCTTCAGTCTAATATGTACAATGCAAAAGTGACACTGTAATGGTACAATACGCAGCATGAGAATCTGTACCCGACACACGTAGCGAGAGTCAAACTGCACCAAATCAAGTTGCGTCACACTGAGTACGGGACAGGAGCCAAACAAAGCTAACGGTGCCCTCTTCAAAGAATGCTACAGCTAACTATCAGAACTAGGCCTTTCAGAGGTGCTAGCATACCCGTGGTTGAACTTTTATTGCACATTTTCAGGGTTAAAGTGATTTTTATCCTGAACTCATAGTAAAGAGAAACCAAATTCTTAAATGAGCCGACGTGCAGCTCACCGTGAACAGTGACCTGAGTCTGAATGGTCTGTGATGTATCCATGATGGTGACGTTACAGACGTACGGCCCACTGTCTGTGACATTGACACTGTAGATGGTCAGGACTCGGGCCGCCTCCGTGGCATGAGACAGAGATTCTCGATAAGGCTTTGTTTCCACCCAACTGTTTGTCTGTAAGAAGAAAACTGTTATTGCTTTTGGGAACTAAATGAACTTTGAAAGTGTTTGAAAGTTAGTACCTGTTTACCAGGATAGGACCACTGGATGTCCACACCAGCGTCAAACTCCACCATCGCAGTGCAGTTGAGGGTGAGGGCCTCCCCCACTAGGAGCTCCACCGACTCCTCAGGAAACAGCTTGACTTCGTAAATCTGACTTCCTGTTTGGGAAAAATAAAAATGTGGGGAGGGTGACAGCAAGAGAGGTCACAGCGACATTGTCAGCAGCGTTTCCTTCCTCGCGAAACCAGAAAAAAGGACTTTCCTTTAACCAGACCAGACCGTTGTGAAGAAGTTTTCTGTCACACCCTTGCACCGCTCCCATTCATGTGTCAAGCTAAATCACAGAAATGAAAGTGGAATTCTGTGGAGCCTCAATTAGAGATAAGAGAGAAAGGCTGAGAAAGCTGAAGCTGAAATTCAGCCCAGCTCTCTTTGTCATCCATGAAAATGATGATGATGTGTGAGCAACTGGCTGTGATAGTTTAAAACATCCCATTAGTCTTCAGAGTGAGGACCCCATTCTCTCTTCTGAATGATGTGGCTATTATTTTTGTCTGGCAGCAGGGAGCACAGCTTTCCTTTCCTGCTCTGGAAGAGCGAGGTGAACAATCTCTCACCCCAGACCAAAGACCCCGCAAGTGCTCGAGGGTTTGCACACGGACGCAACTTTGGCCAAAAGTTCATCAAGTTATACTTTCTGAAATCCAATCATGACTTCTCCTCCTTCATGTGTCTCTATATAACTCCTAATGATAAACCTAGTAGGTCCAAACGACGGCTGAGCTGAACCAATCTTGTTCATCCCTCATCAGAGGGGTTTTCAAATCAAACAGAAGGGCACTGATCTTTTTAACTGTAATAAGGTCTCCTGTGATGCACCCACATCACTTTCCCTCCCCTCCTTCCTGACAAACTCGGTTGGCCTGGTTTAAAAGTCAGATGTCATTAAGGTGTGAGAGTGTACATGGAACAGATTAAAGTAAGTACTGCTGTAAGTACTACAAAGTTAAACCTCAGTACATGAACAGTGTTGGGAGTAATGCGATACAAAAGTAATTAATAATGCATTGCTTTTTGCTGTAATGTGGTAATGTAAGGCATTACAGGGAAAGAAAATGGTAATATTTACTCAGTACAATTGTCAGTAACGCGGTAATTACAATGCATTTTTAAACCCAGAATCAAGATGTGGGTTTCCTAAAAATTCAAATTGCGGGAAGCCTGAAAAAAGATCCAGTATCCACATATATGACGTCATTTATGGACTCAGCTTTGCGGGCATTCTATGAGCAGAGAGGACGCAGCGGTAACGGCTCAAATACTCCAGCTGTGCCCGGCGCGCGGCCGCTGTTCTATTCACAAAATCGCTCCACCAAAACAAAATAATTTGTTTGCGATCGTTTATATCAGACCATATTCTCAGGTACTTCATGTACTTTTCAGCTGAGTTCATAATCTGTGCCCCAGTGATTTCAACTCATTGCTGCTGGAGCGCAGCGCATATGAAGCTTTTTTATTTTTTTATTTATTTTTTTTGCGTTCGGTAGATCCCTTTGGCTGATTAGTTAGAAAGTAGGAAATCTAGGAAACAGTTTTTTCTGGAAGACGGAGAAAACATGCAGCACGCAGGAAGGTTAGAGAGAGAAAGGGCAGGAAATTATTCAAATAAAATCAAGAAAACTGTTTGTACTTGTGTACTCATGTTCTAAGACAGGGCTATTCAAGTTCAGGCCTCAAGGGCCGGCATCCAGCACATTTTAGTGATTTCTCTGGTCCGACACACTAGATTAAGTGGTTGAGTCACCTGTGCAGCAGTTCACTAGGCTCGGTAGAAGCCTGTTAATCACCTGCTGATTGAAATCAGGTGTGTTTAAGCAGGGTTAAAACTAAAATGTGCTGGATACCGGCCCTCAAGGCCTGGAATTGAATTGCCCTGTTCTAAGATGTGTAAACTGAAGTGTTATTGAGAAGGTTGTGCTTTTAGTTTTTCACCACCAGAGGGGCACGCACACTGCGTCATGGCGTAACGGTCGTTGAGGAGAACATGGTCTCCGGTGTGTGTGTGTGTGTGTGTGTGTGTGTGTGTGTGTGTGTGTGTGTGTGTGTGTGTGTGTGTGTGTGTGTGTGTATGTGTGTGTGTGTGTGTGTGTGTGTGTCGCAGTTCTAAAATAAAGACACCAGAAGAAAGCATTTTGGGTCCCATCTTTTCTTTCTTCGAGTTCAACGTTGTTGATGCTGCAACGCTCAACAAAAACAAAACAAAGTGCTTGAAAAGAAAAAAAGTAGGTAGATTTATCCCCAATACACATTTTTACCAGTGAAAAACAATAACATATAAGCATTTAATATTTATACATGTGATAGAATCAGATCACCCCAGAAGTCAGTCCCACATCCAGGGCCGTATCAAGGCATTTGGGGGCCAGGGCAAATATAGGCTTGGAGCCCCCACCACCCCACTCCCTGCTCAGTTAATATAAGATGGCAGCATGCTGAGAGTACAGGTTGTTGTTGCTTTTATTTAATAAACAATCATTCTTAAGCACTGTTATTATATCTGACTGTTTTTAACAGCAATCCTAGCTCAGACACCACATCACTTTCCACATATATGTCATGAGCTCACTGAGCGTCACATTACCAGATTCATACTGAAGTTGTTTTGTTGAAAGTAACTTAAAGTAATGCAAAAGTAGTATAATGCTTTACATTTTAAAATCAGTAATATTGTTATGTAATGAATTACTTTAAAAGGAGGGTAACAAGTAATAAATAATGCATTACAGTTTTGAAGTAACTGTACATGAATAATGCTGCATTGAATCTAATCTCAGTTTTACAGCAAGTCACATTTTCAGACATCTCATCTGAAAACCAAGTCAACAGTTTCCACTGTTCCAGCCGGAGCCATGCTACCCTGGTAAATATTTACTCTGGATCATCTACCCTTCTTTCAGCCTTGGATCATGACATTTCTAACGTCTTGGCTTTGTCTTATTTTGTTCATGTGCACACTTCCAATGGCTGTTCTGCTCCACCACCCTGACAGTTCCTGGTGATGGTGCCTCCTCCCCATCAGGGTCGTTCCTGGGTTAAATGTCTACCCTGAAAGTTTGCTTTGGCCCTGGTCTCCTGCAGTGGAATCAGGCAGAGTTAAGAATGGCCACAAACAAACCGCCTTGCCTCTTAAAAAGGCTCTTTTCATTTAGTTTGCATTAACAAGAGTACTTATTGCAGTTTAAAAATGTGGTACTTTGCACATTTCACTTTATGATCGTGAACTCCTTCAGATGAGGAGCAAGACTGAATCCCTTGGATGGCTGTGAATTCTCATCAGTCTTACCACAAATGTTGACCTGAGTTTTGGGATATTTTAAAGCCAAGCGAAGGTAAATATGTGCTTTTACCGGTGGGGTGGATCAGGTAGTCACCAGTGCGGTATTCTTTGCCTCCCAGTGAGGCCACACATCCAACAAAGACCATCGGCACACTGTCAATGATCCATCTGGGAATGGACCAGCCTCGCTTGTTGTCCCACGTGATCCCACTCATCTCCAGAGATGTTGGATACTGTTGACAGACAGTCAGCTTTACTACATTTAAAACTGAAAATTCAACAAGTGACATAAAAGATGAATACGAACAGAGAAGAGGGTGACGTTCAGGTCAGGAACCGTAACCAGACACGGCACAGTGACGTGTGTGGTGGAGCGAGTGATGAAAATAGTCTGCAGGCCGTGGCTGGCGTTGCCTCTGATGAGGAAGGGCTGCGTCGGGTCTGGAGGCAGACAGAAACAGAGCCTTTAAAGGGTGATACCAGCCGTGGTAATGGCAGCTATTACAGCGGCAACTCTGTGACAATCACACGGCTCTCCCGCTGCCTGATAATGTCCCCCGTGGACGAGCTGCATGTGGAGTTTATCATGATTACCGACGGCTCAGTCGGTGCCCACCTAGAAGTTAAGAACGGTTATTATGCTAGCTGAATGATGACAGCTGAAGGTTTAATCTTCTTGCAGCTGTTTCACCTCAAGCTGTCTGTTGGAGGAAATAGGTCGGCTGTGTTTCTCTATTTTATTGTCTGACTCCGAGCTGCAGAAGCTTTGGAAGACATCCCACAGCTTGTGTCACCATTCTACAGCCAACAGTCCCAAAGTCTCATATCCTCGCAGCACGATAACACATTCTTATAAAAATCTCATTTTCCTCCCGTCCGGTCTTTAGCTCAGCATCCAAAGGCATTGTGTGAGACCGGCTTGCTGATTTTCTCCTTTCATTCTTTTAATTTGTCACGATTAGCCTTCTGTTATTATGGTATGTCTTTGCACAGCGCTGAAAGCTATCTCCTCGTGTTGCTGAGGGGCCAAAACAAGGAGGCTTATGTCCAACCCTGCAGTCAGTGGTCTCAACACAAGGAAGAGACAGAAGTAAGACACAACTCCTCCGCGCTGAAGTTCTGCTCATAAATAACACGGAGATCAGAGAGCGGACAACGGCATGAGCTGATCTGAGTTGGAGGAAAGGCCTCGCACATTTTCAGCTGATGACGCCAAATAATTTTAATGTTTATCACTGCAAATAAAAGAAAATATTTTTAACATTCATAACGTTTACAGTTTCATTACTTAAACCTTTGGACAGCAACGTTTCCTACTTGTTATTACAAACACGACAGGGCTAAAAAGCTGAATTATCTCAAAGGTTTTTAAGTGCTGCTGATGATCGGTGACCTACATGAAGATCAGACTCCAATCAGCTGTTCAGCAGTAATCAGGATGCAAAGAAGCTTCCATGGGATCCCTAATCAGAGCTACAGAGGCTCTCCTGCAGATGCTACGAGTGCTTCAACCTCACGAGTTATCAGAGAAGGTTGACATCTCTCGCGGTGAGAAGAGCACTATTAACTCAGGCAGGGTTCAGCGTGCTCGGAGGGAACTTGGCCAGAGCGCCACTGAATGCATCTGCTCAAAAGACAGAACTGTGATTATGTTTGACTGTGGGACTTCAAAAGGTGCTGGGAGATGGCGTTTTATTGATGGCACCCTGAAGGTCTGCAGAAATATGCAACACATGAGATGCTCGGCTGAGGAGAAGTATTAAACTTTTAAAATGGCCAAGGCGTGGGAGGTTCCTACGAGGAGGACAAACATTTATCCGAGTAAAAACCCAGTAAAACACTTAATGGAACTCTGAAAAAGAAAAACAGGAAGTTGAAGATATCTTCAACGAATGGGGCCAAAGTGGAGCAGCAGCGGCATCCTTCTGGTGAGCTGATCCCGTCAGCCTTAAGCTGTGCTGAGTCACTGAATCATTTTTCATTTTACTCAAGTGCAAATGTTTTCAGATTATTTTCCTAGGGATGCATGGTGGAACAATGCTAGCATTATAGCCTAGCAGCAAAAGGTTGCTTGTTCAAATCCCACCTGCACAGCCTCTCTGAGCGGGGTTACTAAGTTCTCACCATAGTCCGGCATTCTCACACAGGCCCAAAACAGGTGTGAGTGTGACCGGTGTCTGTCTCCGTGTGTCCCTGTCTCCGTGTGTCCCTGTCTCCGTGTGTCTCCTGTCTCCGTGTGTCTCCTGTCTCCGTGTGTCCCTGTCTCCGTGTGTCTCCTGTCTCCGTGTGTCTCCTGTCTCCGTGTGTCCCTGTCTCCGTGTGTCCGTACTGAGGAATAAGCGCTAAAGATGATGAATGGATGTAAGGAACATTTTAGTTTGCTTGAAGCTCAGCAAGCCTGTGCTTCTGTGTAGTTCCACCTGTATCTCACAAGGGTGTGGTTACCACGGTGACACTACCGGCAGCAACTTTGCAACTTAATTTTTTTTTTTTTCTAATTTTGGTTCCTGCTACACTTTGTTTAGATCAAACTTAGATCACAACAAATCTAAGTCACAAACAGCTGCTGGCTTCTGCAGAAGAAATGTGAATTTGAAGCGGTAGCTTCGTTGGCACTGTCAGAAATGTCTTCGTTCCTAATCCTCTTTAGACCGATTTTTGTTGGTTTTCTGCATTTTCATGTTTAGTGGACAGCGTGCAGCACAGACGGCGTACAGTCAACATCTGCCTGTCTAATTGAATCCATGCAGCGCCCTCTCATCCTACCACACGCTGGGCCTAATTTATGACCACGATCACATCTGCTCCTGATCAGCGTGCTCGTTAGATCTGTGGAAACTGTTTTGGCACCTTGTCAGCGGGATAAACAGGCGTCATGCATGAGTGGTCTGGTCAGCAGGACCCCTGTGCATGACCCTCATCTGTTTCTCTATCTGCTGCGCCTCAGACGTCTCTTCCAGAGCGCGTGAAGCGAGAGAAAATAAAGAGATAAGGCTGATCGTCGGGCTGGAAGTCGTAAAGGTGATTAGAGACTGAGAAAGTAGGTTGGCAGGGAATTCTGTGACAAGACATGAAAATAAAAGAAAAGAAATGTGGCTGCAAAACCGGCGCAGTTCTTATCTAGTCTGAAAGCCCCATGAGACCAGCTGCTACGTTTCATTATTTAGAAATATAAAAGAAATCCAGTCTCTTTGTAGAATGAGCTGACCAAGACTTGTTATCAAAAGCTTTGCATCTCTAATTTCCAAACCATGAATCCCGCCAGCTTCCAAGGTGTTACCGAGGCCAGCTAAACAAGTTCCAGCTCTAATAAAGCAGCCGTAGCTTTGATATCTGAGTGATGTTCAAACAGAGGATTGGTTTCCGTAGAAAAGCCTCGGTTTCATTGTGAACCTTCCAGAGCTACAGACCAGGTGAGCGGCTCCAGTTTTGAAAAATAAGCATAAATTATTTCAGAATGGGGAAAAAACTGAAAAGATTTTACGAAAGCTGATAATTACCATAGAGCTTTCTCTTGCTACTGGCCTACAGCAGGAGAGGAAAAGATAGAAAGACGTATTTCCTGTATGGTGATGGTGGAGCTCACCTCTGACAAACACATAAACACCCACAGCAGTTGTGCCGTCGATGGCCTTCCTGTCCTTATAGGAGCACCGGTAGAAGCCTGTGTCTCTGCCCTGCGCTCCATTCAGAACCAGCCTCTTGCAGTACGGCTTCCCGGTTTGTCCGGGACATTCGCTGATCAAGACGGTCCTCTGCCCAGGGACTCTGGTGGTCTGAGGCTGGGCCTGACGGTCCACGAGCTCCTGCCCGAGCAGCTCCTTATCCGGCCAGGACCAGACCAGGGTACGCTCTCCCCTGAGGGAACATCAGTTAGAGACTAATTCAGATGGTCCATCAGCAATTTTACTGACCCCCATCCCGGTCATCATTCACATTTTTATTTATTTATTTTAATCATTCAAAATGTAAACATAAAACAACAGAATATACATACCAGCACAAGCGATTAGAAGGAAAAGGAGCATAAAGAATATAAATATTCAGAAACACGTGATAACAGCCAGTAGCCACATATCAGAATGGATACTGGCATGTTCTGGTCTGAATGGGAAATGATACACAGTACAGTACAGTACAGTACAGTACAGTACAGTACAGTACAGTACAGACAGACAGACAGACAGACAGACAGACAGACAGACAGACAGATAGATAGATAGATAGATAGATAGATAGATAGATAGATAGATAGATAGATAGATAGATAGATAGATAGATAGATAGATAGATAGATAGATAGATAGATAGATAGATAGATAGATAGATAGATAGACTCTTTTGGGGTGATTCATTTTAACGTCTGCGTGGCCTAGTTTGTGAAAGCCTCAGAAACCAGCCTTTCAATCAGGTTATCTTCTTTAGCATGGTTGATCGCCTCCCCTGTAAAAACCTTATATCCAGTGTCGGGGAGTGACTGAATACATGCATTTAGAATACCAAAGATGAGTAACTGTATCCAGTTACAGTTACTATTTTCAAACATGGTATTTAGAATACAGTTACTTTTATAATACCATTGGAATACTTGTGTGATTTCCACTTTGCACTCGAAAGATGACTAAATAAATTTCGGGCAACTGGAGCTCCCTTGTTGGGATGCTGCCCCCGTGACCCGGACCCGGATAAGCGGAGGAAGACGACGACGATGACAGGCAACGTGTGTCTCTGCGCTGTGTAGGCTATCTATCCCATAATGCCCCTAAACAATGTAACCATAGTAACACTACGCCTGAAACCATGAGAAGGCTACACCCCGACTAGCAAGCACCAGCGTTAACCTGAGTGGTCAGATATGGATTCAGACCAGGAGGTGGAGTGGGTGGACCCACAACCGCAGCCAAATCAACCTTCTGGCAGTGAAAGAAAAATGCATTCGCTTCTTGGAAATTCAAGCAATTGTTCAAAAATCCTTCGTGCTACTTCTTACTTTTCATTGGCAGTCAACATGATTATTGAGCTCACCAGGAATAATTGGTGTCATTATTGTGTCATTTCAATGCAGTTCAATTCAAAGATACTTTATTAATCCCAGAAGGAAATTAGAGTTTCAGTACACACAATTCTGAGATCAGACATACATACACAGGCAAAGACAAATGAGAAGAACTGGTGACTGTGGTCATTCGCAGCCCGAGTCGCGCTACCTTAATAGAGAACAGAGGGGTTTACATGAGGATTGGGTCAGGTGGAGGAAAAAAAGGCACTTCAGAGTTAAGCTTGGTTTATGCTTGACGCATTCACTTTCCGCATGGTGATGCGGCTCGCGGATGGAACGCGCTTCACAACTCGCAGTGTTTATGGCTCATGCGGCTCGTCTCTGCGGTGAGCCAATATTCTCCCAAACTGTAGGGGGCAGCATGGAGCTCTACGGCATGCATCCAACACTACACCGTAGTAGAAGTAAAAATTACTGTTGTTTACAACATTGCATTTCGGCATTTTTAACATCGTCCTCGTCTTTTCCGACAGTGCGAGCTATTTCTCTCCAAGAATTATTAACAACATGTTGATCACGGTGATCTCTGAGAGCTGAATCATACAGATGTCTGTATTTACGAACCTCTGCCATACTAGTTCTTGCCGGTCCGCCATGTTTTTCCGCGTCCGACCATCCGCGTGGTTAGAAATTTTCCTAGGTGCGCGGTGTGGAAATTTTGGGCCGTGCGGAGACGCGGTGGAGGGGCGTGGTTGTTAAAATGACGCAATTTCGCCGTGCGGAGCCGTGCGGACCTTGCGGACGCGTCAAGCATAAACCAACCTTTACCCTCCACAGGGAGAGCAGCTTTGCTATGCAAAAAAAACATCAGACAGAAATGCAACAGACTTCAGACATCACACAAGTGTCCACTAGGCGGGGTGGTAGGGTTTGGGACTCTCCACAGGTCAGTGAATGCAGCCGCGATAAGCAGAGCTCGTCACCTCAGTCTGGACAGGGGTGGGAGGTCGTTGGGTTTAGAGGGCACAGTGACTCCTGGAACGATTCAGCGGCCTTCACAGCTCGCAGTCCCGCCTAGGCTGGGATAGGGAGACAGAGTTGCCATGGCGACGGCATTCACTTCATTTTTTATGCTAGGCAAAAGCAAACGGACTGCTGCCGGATCGGGAGGATTACTTCGCTGGTTGCAAAATGCTTTTTCCTCACTTATCTAACTCTGGGAAATATGGTAATAGACACATTTTCCCTTTGGGGTGGAACATCCCATTAAAGAAAGTGATTTTAGAAAGACACCGTTTCTAAAAATTATTTATCTATTTAGCTTTCTTAGTGCTTTATTTACCAGTACCAGTAAGGTGTTAAAGACAGTAATGCTGTGCTATGTTCAACCACTTTGTCACTTTATTACAGAAACAGAATCTGTTGACACTTTGATGAATAAAGTAACAAAAATAATGAAACTGTTTTATTTTCCCAGTCAGTTCATATTGTTTAGCATAAGCATGCCCTCTGTTTTCCTGCAGGAGTAGCTACCAACGCACGTTGTGATATTTAATAGACTTAAATTAGGAGACGTAGTCCAAGTATTTAGAACACAGTACCAGGATTAAGCAAAGTAATGGAATACGTTTCTAAATATATTTTAAAGCAGGTACTCAGTATTCTGTAACTAAATACATTTACAAAGATTTCTTCCCAACACTGCTTATATCATCCAGGAGGTGATCAAGCTGTTTTCAGACATCGGTTAACAAACCTCAAGCTCCACTGTTGAAAACGTCAATCCAGGAATGTTTGACTTTGAGGGCCCTATCTAGCGTTCCATTATTAAGCTGTCAGTCTGGGTTTTTCAGAACTACTGTGTCCAGGGTAAAGTGCAGATCCCAGGGGGAGCTCCGCAGCAATGCATCCCCAAGACCTGAGTCTGTTGCAGGGAAACCCCAGGACAGTCCGGAGCTGTGAACCAAGTTAACTGGGCCTGAGCTCTGTTCACGGTTAGAACTTGTGAACCTGACATCGAGTCTCTAGCCTGGATCCTTTTGTTAGGACAATGTTCTCATGTGGAAGATCCGCATGATTTCATACTGAAACATTCAGCGTGCTCAGACAAGAAGCCACCTGGTATAAAACTGGAAGAACTTTGTTCAAGGGAAGAAACGACGATTGACTTCTCTCCACAAAATTGTTGATTCGTTTCGTCTGTCTCGAATTTTTCTCCAAAATGTGAAACTTCTAAGAGTGCGTTCTCTCTGTTTGGGCCTCAAGTTGAGACATGATGACAGAAATTTCTACACAGATAAATGGTACATGTCATTTTAGTGACATGTTTTTTACCATTCACAGTAATGCTGCTTGTGCCTGACTCAGTGGAAGTTCCCATATGTTCACAACTTAACCTGCAGGTCTAACGGCCGCCCTGAAGACCCACGGCCCTGCTTTCATCACCTGCCTGTTTCTTACACAAAAGGACAGAATCTGCAGGCAGCGCCAGCGTGTGATGACTGGATGCAGCACAGAAATTATAGAGCTCAGTGAAAACCATCAAACACACCCCCAGGGTCACTCTCCAGACCCGTGTAAATAATGTCTGTCTGTCTAAAGCTGAGAAAACTGCTCACTGCTCAGAATAAATAGGCTAAAATGAAACCAATCCCCCATCTCTAGAGGTCCTCGTGGTGCTGCCACTGATGGTTTACGTGCAAACATCTATAGGCCGGCATCCAAGAGTAGCACCGGCTCTCCAAACGCAGCGTTTATTTTCTTTCCACAAACACAAGGTTGAGTCGAGTGACAACTTGGCTGCAGAAAGCAAACCTGATATTTCTTCATAATAAAGGATTGTTGTCATGAGCAGCTATGCATGAATCAGTCCTGCGGAGGAGCGTGATGAAGACCCAGAGAGTCATGTTGAAAATCCCGGTCCTTTGTTTGAGTGAGGTGCAGGTCCTCTGTCAGTCCTGAGGTCTGCACTGCTGTTCAGATGGCGGCCGACGTCGTGCTACTCACATCGGTTCCTTGATGGGTAACAGAAGACTTTGTAATCAATGCCATTAATTATTTTCTGCATGTAAATAGCAAACCACCATCTCATTAGCATTTAGCATTAGCTTTAAAAATGAGCTATTTTGTTTTTAAAATTTAAGCTGTCATTCACGTTTATCAGGACAAACATATTATTTATTTATTATTTATTCATGTAACCAGCGTGCAGAGAGGGTTCATTTTTTCACTTTTCTTTATGAAAACTACAGCATGCATGCTGTTTGCAGGGTATTTTGCACATAGGTTTCCCCTTTTGAAACTGACAGACAAAAATATATAAAAAGAAGAGTTATGTTGACATCCTTTTTCGTCTTTGTGTGCATGCACGAGTGGTTAGGTGGCAAAAACAAACAATATGGCCTGCTATCAATGCGCAACGCACACATTCTATATTCTTCCCCTAGCTGGCATCATTCAGTCTTTCCCAGACATCTCCTACCACATCTATGCTGATGATATTCAGCTCTATATGTCCTTTATGCCACACCAGTTGGACAGGCTGGCCACACTTGTACTCTGCCTGACCCAGATCAGTAACTGGCTGTCCAGCAACTTTCTTGTCCTCAATGCTAACAAGACAGAGACCCTGATCGCTGCACCCCCGGAACTTCAGCCAAAAATCGAGCAAGAAATTGCCTCTTTTTGCCCATCAGCCAAGGCCAACATTAGAAACCTAGGAGTTATTTTTGATCCAGCCTTAAGTTTAGACTCACACGTTAAAACCATCTCCCGCTCTTGTTTCTTTCAACTGAGAAACATTTCAAAAGTCCGTAAACTAGTTTCTACTGCAGATCTGGAAAAAATCATCCATGCCTTT